TGGATTTGGTTATAAATGTGTTAAATTGATAGAGATGTTGTATAAAGATATCAATAGTTCAGTATCGCTTCCAGGTGGAAGGTCATCCAATGCAGTATGACCACATTGTGCTCACTATGGATGGGCAGGTACACAGAAGAGAGCGAGGACATCTTGATGGCATTGGGTCTCGTCCTGTGTGTTTTAATTTGTGTTTGGGATCCAGTATCCTAAAGGACTCAAGAAGACACTGACCTTTTTGGAGTGTGTTACATTGAAACTGAAAGATGCAGCCGGACTTCCTGTTACAAAAAAATAGACTTTAGGACTCAATAATCTCTTTCTGGATGGCCAGTTCAAGAAAACAAGCACGTTTACACTGATACATACGGAAGCCCTGAACCGCAACCTAAAAAAAAAAAAAAAAGTCAGTAAAAAAAAAAAAATCTTAAAAAAAAAAAAATCTTACAAAAAAAAAAAAAATCTTACAAAAAAAAAAATCTGTAAAAAAAAAAAAAAATCTAGCATTTCGAGATTAAAGTCGAAATGTTTCGAGATTAAAGTCGAAATGTTTCGAGATTAAAGTCGGAATGTTTCGAGATTAAAGTCGAAATGTTTCGAGATTAAAGTCGAAATGTTTCGAGATTAAAGTCGAAATGTTTCGAGATTAAAGTCGAAACATTGTGCAGTGCGCGTCCACTGGCTCAGAGCGCGCGCGCGTGTGTGTGTGAAGTCGAACTGCCATGGATAAACACAAAATAGTAGCTTTTTACTTTTATCTGGGCTTTCAACAAAATTCTACACACGTCACACGTGCTACTGAGGTGTTTTCGTGCTCGTCTAGTCAACACTATCTGGGTCGAGAACACAACAGTAACTGTTCGGTCTCCTCTTCCCCGTAAATACGCTCTGGATACATTTTAAGTGCATCATTCTGTATCCAATCATTTGGCCGGATCCTGTGATTTCCTAAGATTTAATAACCACTTATGGTTGAGGAGAGATTCTGTGATATGATTGTAAAGCACTTTGAGTGTAGGCATATATGAAAGCGCTATAAATGCCCTATTCATTCATTCATTCATTCATTCATTCATTCATTCATAAAGCTGGATTTCTCCATCCAGTCTGAAAAGTGTTTTCCGTGTTGGTTTTCCTATAGGCTAAAGTCTATTCCGGCGCAGTATATTTTATAACGTCCTATAATGGTAGCCTAATGCTGGTAGATTGGCACCTGTTGAATTTCCTTTGATGAAACAAAACACACACATACACAGTGTGAAACTCGCTATCGCGTAGAAGCTGCGCGTGTGTGCTTTCCATTGTCTCACATTGCCGCACACACAGGCATTCATAATGGCCAATAGCGAGTTTCACACACTGTGTGTGTGTGTGTGTGTGTGTTTTGTTTCATCAAAGGAGACCGAAAAGCTACTATTTTGGGTTTATCCATGGCAGTTCAACTTCACACACACACACGCGCGCGCGCTCTGAGCCAGTGGACGCGCACTGTTATGAATGCACAATGTTTCGACTTTAATCTCGAAACATTCCGACTTTAATCTCGAAACATTCCGACTTTAATCTCGAAACATTCCGACTTTAATCTCGAAACATTTCGACTTTAATCTCGAAACATTTCGACTTTAATCTCGAAACATTTCGACTTTAATCTCGAAATGCTAGATTTTTTTTTTTTTTTTTTTACAGATTTTTTTTTTTACAGATTTTTTTTTTTTTTACAGATTTTTTTTTTTTTTTACTGACTTTTTTTTTTTTTTAGGTTGCGGTTCAGGGCTTCCGTAGATACATGATGTAAATACATGATGTAATTAAATGGGTTAATATTTATTGTGAATATTCAATTGCATTCTGTTTTTTTTTTCATGAAATATAATATTCTATTAATTGTAATAAGTCTTAGTTAATTTGTACTTTCTGTCCTGTGTTCAAATTTGTACATGCCTATATTAAATAAATATTTCAAGAAGAATAATAGGTTGTGTCTGTGTTGTGAAATGGGATTAAAGTAGTAAAGTATAATAATAATAATTTCAAACATACATATCTACATACATATACATACCGAAATCATGTCTAAAAAGGTTCAAAATGGAACCCATGCGGTTCATTAATGCACCTTTAAGGGAAGGTTCCAAATAGAACCTTTTCAAAAAGGTTCAAAAATGAACCTTAAGGTTCCCCCACAGTTGCAATTTCCAGGAACCTCAAAAGTTTCATTTTTGAACCTTTTCTTCTTAGAGTATACTCTGTTTCTTAGAGATGCAGAGCAGATCCCAGCTGCCATTAATTTAGTGTCACATTTTTCCAAAGCTTCTGGTCTGAAGTTAAATTTAAAAAAGTGCGAGTTGATGGTGGTGCATAATCGGACTGAATCTCATTTATTTAATATTCCATTAAAAAATGAGGTCAAATATTTAGGTATTGTTATTACTAAAGACGCTAAAACAAGAGGAAAAACTAATTTGGCTGACAATATAACAAAATGTCAAATATGTTAAATGTGTGGTTACAAAGAGATATTTCCATTTTTGGTAGAATCTTATTACAGAAAACTGAGGTACTTTCTAGGCTGATTTATCCTGCATATTCTTTGGCAATCTCCGACAGGTGGATAAAGGATTTTAATCAAATTCAGCATACATTTCTTTGGAAAAACAAACACCATTACATAAGAAAATCAGATGTAGTGAAGCCATTCAGTGAGGGAGGTTTGAATTTGATTGATTTTGATGTAATGAATGGCACTCTTAAATTGAGATGGCTCCAAGCTTTCCTTAGGAATAAATAATCTGTTTGGTCTAGTTTTTCTTCAAAAATCTTTGATTTTTTGGGGGGCATTGATTTTCTTTTGAGGTGTGATTTTGAGCCATTAAAACTAAAGTGTAAATTGTCCTCTTTTCAAAGTCAGGTATTATTATATTGGAAACTGATATACAAACACAATTTTTCCCCACATAGTTGTTCTTTGTGGAATAATAAGTTTATCCTTATTAATAGGAAATCAGTCTTTTTTCAGGGCTGGATGCATAAAGGTGTCTGGTCCATTGTACACATTATGGATGGGGAAGGGAATTTCCTTAGTTTTGAGAATTTTTGTGAAAGATATAATATTATTTGCACTCAGAAATTATATGTATCTTTATTAAACAATCATATTATACTTTTTTTTTCCTTATAAGATTAGTCATCCAATCAAGCTGTTCTGCTTCTCTAAGAAAATTAGAGAACTGGCTTATAATGTATTTGAAGAAGTGAAACTGCTTGAGACGAATCAGATCATATCTTAAACGAAAGGAAACAACTTTTCTCCCATTTTCACGAACAAAATATGGTGAGTTTTACTGGATTTTATCTCTTTGCTAGTCGGTCAGAATTATTGAGAAACATGCTTGCTCGAATACAGCTTAAAGGCAAACTGGTGCAGTTTTGACAGTTCAGCCAAAATTTTAATTGACTGTAATTTACCAACATTCATGTCATTCCAAACCTGTATGACTTTCTTTCTTCTGAAGAAGATATTTTATATTTTATATATATATATATATATATATATATATATATTGAAGAGTTTAGATGCAAAAGCCTCTAAGTGCCATTTGAAATTTTCTTCTAGAATGATCATTTTTATCAAGCTTGTATATTTAAGTTCAGTGATTTCACTTAAATGGCAATGATAATTACCTATTAATTGTTATTTAAGTGAAATTACTGAACTTAAATATACAAGTTTGATAAAAATCATCATTAAAGAAGAAAATTTCAAATGGCATTTAGAGGCTTTTGCATCTGAACTCTTCATATGTTTATGTTTATATATATGTAGTGCCATGTCCTCTCTCTTCCTCCAGGCAAATGCTGGTAGCAGCAGTAGCAGTACCATCAGAGAGCTGCATTTTGTTAAATGGTTAGTGAATTCTAATTTAAATGAGAATCCCTCTGACAACACTGATGAGGATGATATTGATGAAAGTGGACTGAAGATGTGCAATGAATGGGATTCAGACCTGCACGTCCCTGCAGTACCATCTACCCCGGAGCAGCCCTGTCATGTCCCGCAAGAGACACAACACAGAGACAGAAAAGACGTCTGATCTGTCTTTGACACCTCCAATATGGGAACTATCCATCTGTTCCAAACCTGTATGAATTTCTATATTGAGCTGAACACAAAAGAAGATATTTGGAAGAATATGGCTATTCATTAACAGTTGATGGGCCCCATTGACTTGAATACTAATGGAAGTATGGGGCCAATCAACTGTTTGGTTACCATGATTCTTCAAAATATCTTCTTTTGTGTTCAACAGAAAAAAAGAAATGCATACAGCTTTGGAACAACTTGAAGGTAAGTAGATGATTTTTTGCTGAACTATTCCTTTAACTGCAACAAATATTTTGTAGTAAGACTCAAGTACATCTTGATAGCATGATAGCATTTATGGTAAACTATTTTATGTCATTTCTATTGAAACTTCATTGTCACGCATTTAAATATATTTGTAAATAAGGAAGTAAAATACTGTAAATGTAATACTTAATAACACACATACAGTTAAAATCAAATCAAGTACTTTACATGTGATTTAGTTATGTAAATTTTAAAAGTGTGAAACAGTCATGAAAGTGTACTCTATTTTAGTAAGTGGTCTTTCACTATTATTATATTATATGCAACTTAATAGTAGACTACAAGTGCACATATAGAAGTAAGCGCATTTCTTTTTCACACGGGTGTTCATATAAATATGTTTTCAGACGCAGTTTTCCGATGTGTGCTGGCGCTACAACACAACATTTACATCCTTAAAGGTACAGTTTACTAAAAAATAAATGAATGTGTGTAATGAATGTGTGGTGCATGTTAGTGACTTTTATAAGGTCAATGGCATAAGATTAAAAAAATACCTGGAAATGTTGGCTTCTTGATTGTAACTCTCGATTAATGACAATTAATTCGAACTGAACAAAAACATGTTTTTAGTCGGGTTAGAAATACACATCTTTTATTAAAAACTACATTAAGGAAGACTTCAGAAAAAAAGGATGCAATGAAAGTGGATGGAGACTCACGCTGCCATTCTGACTAACATCTCATTTATTTATTTTTATTTTTTTGCATAAGAAATAAATCGTACGGATCTGGAACAAAATTTTGGAGACAGTTTAAAATGGCTTTTTTGGTATATTATCCCATTAGGACAGTAGGATCAGCTTGTAGTGTATACAAACGATGTGTTTGCATATATACATTATTGCATAACATAAAATTAAGCCACAAAGAAAAATATGAATAACTACATGTGAAAATGTTGTAACAGGACATTTTCATAAAGGTCTATGTGCAACAACTATCAAAAAAAGTTTTTCAAAATAGCAAAAGTAAAGATATGATAGGCAACAATATAGAGTAGCATAAAGTAGTTTACACCAAAATAAAAGGTACAAATAAAATAAAGATAATTTTGACTGATAATGTCAGATAATTTTCATTATTGTGCATTAAAAATGATTAATAAATGGAAGCTTCTTTCTGCCAAGGAATACAAAAAATAAAACGGTGAAACTGATTTTTTTTTTTTATCTCACAATATTACTTTTGTTCTCTCAATTGCGAGTTTACAGTTATAGCTCACAATTGTCTTTTTTCCCCTCAGAATTGCAAGTAATCTTACAAAAATCGATTTTCAGAATACAATTCGGACTTTAAAACACTTTTTTTCTCACAATTCTGAGGGGACAAGTAAGAATTGTGAGTAATAAACTCCTTTTTGAGGAAAAAAGTCCCAAATTTAAGATATAAACTCATATCAAAGCATGGTCTTTTTGTTAATTTACCTACCGTTTCTTTGTAATGATTTTAAATATGTATGAAAATGATATTACAGCTCTTTTATCATCTGACAGTGGCCTATACTGCATGTTTAAAGGATGGAGCAACAGCAGCATTTAGCAGGATAGTCCTTGGTGTAAACTTTGTGTTCAGTACCATACACAAAATAAATGTATGTTTTTTCATTCCAGGTGTAATGCACTCGTGTGATGGGAATTAGCTCAATGGTCTGCCTCTGGAAAACAAAAATAAAACACACACACAAGGTTAGAGCTTATGCTTCGTCTCTAACTTACTCTATAAATGCATTTTATTGTCCAGTTCTCTAGAGAAGAGCATGGAATGGTTTTCTACGTTTCTTTTCAATATTCGTGTTTATTTTGTTTAAATATGGGAATATTCAGACTGCTTGACAATATGACAAACAACTTGGTATTAACTTGGCAAGCTCTAATCTGGTTTCTTAAAAGAGCCAACAGGAAGAGGTTTCATTAATTCCCAGAAGAGCGGAGTCTAAGATGTGGCCTTAAGGGATACTCCTCTTTTTTGGAAATAGGCTCATTTTACATCTCCCTCAGAGTTAAACAGTTCGGTTTTACCATTTTCGAATTTAGAAGAATATCAGTAAACCAGACAGTTTCTGGTCCCATTGACTTCCATATTAGGAAAAATATATACTATTGAAACTGTCTGGTTCCTACAATGGAAGTCAATGGGACCAGAAACGGTCTGGTTCCTACTATGGAAGTCAATGGGACCAGAAATGGTCTGGTTCATACTATGAAAGTCAATGGGACCAGAAACGGTCTGGTTCCTACTATGAAAGTCAATGGGACCAGAAACGGTCTGGTTCCTACTATGAAAGTCAATGGGACCAGAAAGTGTCTGGTCCTGGACAGCAAAATGGTAAAACTCAACTGTTCAACTCAATGGGACCAGAAACGGTCTGGTTCCTACTATGAAAGTCAATGGGACCAGAAACGGTCTGGTTCCTACTATGAAAGTCAATGGGACCAGAAAGTGTCTGGTCCTGGACAGCAAAATGGTAAAACTCAACTGTTCAACTCAATGGGACCAGAAACTGTCTGGTTCCTACAATGGAAGTCAATGAGACCAGAAACGGTCTGGTTCCTACTATGAAAGTCAATGGGAGCAGAAACTGTCTGGTCCCGGACAGCAAAATGGTAAAACTCAACTGTTCAACTCAATGGGACCAGAAACTGTCTGGTTCCTACAATGGAAGTCAATGGGACCAGAAACGGTCTGGTTCCTACTATGGAAGTCAATGGGACCAGAAACTGTCTGGTTCCTACTATGGAAGTCAATGGGACCAGAAATGGTCTGGTTCCTACTATGAAAGTCAATGGGACCAGAAACTGTCTGGTCCCGGACAGCAAAATGGTAAAACTCAACTGTTCAACTCAATGGGACCAGAAACTGTCTGGTTCCTACAATGGAAGTCAATGGGACCAGAAACGGTCTGGTTCCTACTATGGAAGTCAATGGGACCAGAAACTGTCTGGTTCCTACTATGGAAGTCAATGGGACCAGAAATGGTCTGGTTCCTACTATGAAAGTCAATGGGACCAGAAACTGTCTGGTCCCGGACAGCAAAATGGTAAAACTCAACTGTTCAACTCAATGGGACCAGAAACTGTCTGGTTCCTACAATGGAAGTCAATGGGACCAGAAACTGTCTGGTTCCTACAATGGAAGTCAATGGGACCAGAAACTGTCTGGTTTACTGATATTCTTCTAAATATCAGAAAATCGGCTGAATGGATTCGAAAATAGTAAAACTCAACTGTTTAACTCTGAGTTTCCCTCAAAAAGTGGAATATCCCTTTAAAGAGACAGAAGCATTATGATTTGTTTTATCAGATGAATTCTACTCAACCTGTTGCAGAATATGGCAGGTGGTGGAGAACTGAGCCTGGTGTTCCCTCACAGCACTTTCAGAAGCTACATTCACAGAGCTGTCCGGGAAACCCACCACTGGATAGACCTGCAGCGATGGGTCCAAACTTCAGTGGCAAAGCCAAACAAGGTAATGTTACAAAGTAACTATCGTATATGATTCAATAGACCTTATCAGAGCAGCGCCATGACGGGTATGAAAGCGAGGCGAGGATATACGAGGCGTTTTCAAAGGCATCCAGTGTAAAAAGCTGTATAAAGCTCTTAGATCACTTAAACTTTTCCACTGCTCATACTGTCGGGAGTTTTTTTGCAGTGTTAGATATTAAAAATAGTAAAGATATTTTTGCAGTGTTTCGTCAACAGAACAATTCTAACACACAGATTAAATAACAGTATACAACATCCCAACGAAGAGAGATACGTCTATCCCTCACAGCCTCACTTTCATTTCTGTTAAAAATCAAAGATGGCGCCGATGTGAATAAAGTCTATTTGAAGTGGTTTTAAATGTTTTAAATGGGTCAAATCATGTATTTTTTTTTTTGCATTTTTTCCACATTTAATGTTTTCAATACATTTTTTTTCTTTTACAAAAATTTTTAAATACTATATTTTATATTATACTTTTTTTCAGTTCTGCGTAAAGTTACTTTTAAAAGTGATCCATTAAGATATTGCGTTACTCCCAAAAAAAGTAACTAATTACATTACTAAGTTACTTTTTATGAGACGTAATGTGTCAAGTTACTTTTCTCGCCTGGTCGAGCTCGTTCTCTTCCAGGTTTTGCAGATGTTTTTTTTTTTTTTACTGAGAGATTTTTTTGCATGTATTTAACAACATAGTCTATATAAGAAACACCTTGATTTTCTTTTAAAAATAAATTTAAAATATTATTATAGTCTAAGTGCTTAGAATATTTCCTGAACCCAAGAGCTATGTATTCCATTCAAGCAATCTCTTAACATTGCGTCTTATATTACCGACTGTACACCTCTTTTTATTGAAAATGAGACTAATATGTTTTGTTATTTTTGTACTTTGTCAGTTCTCTATTTTATGGAGAACAGAGCGAATTCATTATTCAGTAGATTAGAAAAACTTTTACGCAAATAAATTAAACAGAAAAGTAATGTGCCTTGTTTTTTTTTTAAAGTAGGCTAACTCAAATATTAATGTGTACATTTATAAAAAAAAATAGTTACTTTACTCGTTACATCAAAAAAGTAATACGATTACATAATGCACATTATTTGTAATGCGTTACCACCATCACTGCTTATTTCAGTTTGACATGACCTTTTGGCATGTGAAATAATAGTGACATTAAAACACATGTTTAGGCTTAATATTAAGAAATGTGCATTGTGCAATAAAAAAGTGCTCCAAATAAAGTCTAATTATAATATGTATTTCAGTAAGTCTCAAGCAATATGTCAGTAATGGATTTGTTGTATACTTAGTATGAAATAAATGTGTTTCAAATAAATTTTGGTATAGATATTTGGTTTAATTTTAGTTCATTTTGTTATACATGTTTGTCATTTTATTAATTTTTTTCTTAAATATTGCCATTTAAGGTTACATTTATTTATTTCAGTTTTAGTTTTTATGTATGTCCTGTTAATAATTATATATTATAATATCAAATTAATTGAATTTAATTTAATTTAATGTTTTTAATAGTTTACACAGCAGTCAATCTCGTATCTCATATATACATATGAATATATCTAGAATCTCAAATAACCTAAAATAATAACCTAAAATTCAGAAAAAAAACCCCTTCAAATTTTCATCATCATGAGCACCATGATGTTTTTTGCTCACCATTGGAGCCATATCAGTTAGAAGCTTCTCTCCAGGAATTTGATCGAGATATTCAACGGGGAACCCAGAACGCTTGTCAATCACAGCAACATGAATGTTGTTCTTCCTGAAAAGATTAATAAAACACATGAATAAAAAAGTACATAAGCTTGTTAGTACTGATTAGTGGTGCTAACTGCATGTCTTCTCACCATGTAATTTTAAGTTTGATGAAGCAGAGGAGCTTTCCTTGCCCTTCGCATGTTTTGCAGGTAATCGAACCGACTCCTCCACAGGAATGACACCTGGAATACAGATCATTTAACACACCGTTAACATTCCAGTCATTAAGGTTATTTTTTCATTGTGATGTTTCTGGCAATAAGGAGCAATGTCTTGTGTGATGGGTAAATGCCAAATTCACAAAGCAAGATATCTTACATTTAAATCCAAATGTTAAGTATTTGCAATGGATTTACGTCACTATTATCATCACATCAAAAAACCTCTGTACTATTCCCTATGGAAGCTTGTTTCCGCCACAGAATGAAAAATAAAGAGGTAATTGCGACTTTTATCTCACAATTCTGCCATTTTTTCAAGTTTACTTCCCACAATTCTTAGAATTGCGTGATATTAAGTTGCAATTGTGAGATAGAAAGTCAGAATTGTGTGATAAAAACTTGTAATTTTGAGAAATAAACTTGATATTCAGACTTTTTTCACAGAATTGCATGTTTATATTGCGCAATTCTGACTTTTTAACACGCAATTGTAAGATATAAAGTCAGAATTGTGAGATAAAAACTTGCAATTTTGAGAAATAAACTTGATATTCAGGCATTTTTCACAGAATTACGTGTTTATATTCCGCAATTCTGACTTTTTAACACGCAATTGTGAGATAGAAAGTCATTGTGTGATAAAAATTCGCAATTTTGAGAAATAAACTTGATATTCAGACTTTTTCACAGAATTGCATGTTTATATTGCGCAATTCTGACTTTTTAACACGCAATTGTGAGATATAAATTCAGAATTGTGAGATAAAAACTTGCAATTTTAAGAAATAAACTTGATATTCAGGCATTTTCACAGAATTACGTGTTTATATTGCGCAATTCTGACTTTTTAACACGCAATTGTGAGATATAAAGTCAGAATTGTGAGATAAAAACTTGCAATTTTGAGAAATAAACTTGATATTCAGACTTTTTTTTACAGAATTGCATGTTTGTATTGCGCAATTCTGACTTTTTAACATGCAATTGTAAGATATCAAGTCAGAATTGTGAAATTAAAACTTGCAATTTTGAGAAATAAACTTGATATTTAGGCATTTTTCACAGAATTACGTGTTTTTGCACAATTCTGACTTTTTAACATGCAATTGTGAGATATCAAGTCAGAATTGTGTGATAAAAACTCGCAATTTTGAGAAATAAACTTGATATTCAGGCATTTTTCACAGAATTACGTGTTTATATTGCGCAATTCTGACTTTTTAACACGCAACTGTGAGATATAAAGTCAGAATTGTGTGATAAAAACTCGCAATTTTGAGAAATAAACTTGATATTCAGGCATTTTTCACACAATTGCATGTTTATATTGCGCAATTCTGACTTTTTAACACACAATTGTGAGATATAAAGTCAGAATTGTGAGATAAAAACTTGCAATTTTGAGAAATAAACTTGATATTCAGGCATTTTTCACAGAATTACGTGTTTATATTGCGCAATTCTGACTTTTTAACACACAATTGTGAGATATGAAGTCAGAATTGTGTGATAAAAACTCGCAATTTTGAGAAATAAACTTGATATTCAGGCATTTTTCACACAATTGCATGTTTATATTGCGCAATTCTGACTTTTTAACACACAATTGTGAGATATAAAGTCAGAATTGTGAGATAAAAACTTGCAATTTTGAGAAATAAACTTGATATTCAGGCATTTTTCACAGAATTACGTGTTTATATTGCGCAATTCTGACTTTTTAACACACAATTGTGAGATATAAAGTCAGAATTGTGTGATAAAAACTCGCAATTTTGAGAAATAAACTTGATATTCAGGCATTTTTCACACAATTGCATGTTTATATTGCGCAATTCTGACTTTTTAACACACAATTGTGAGATATAAAGTCAGAATTGTGAGATAAAAACTTGCAATTTTGAGAAATAAACTTGATATTCAGGCATTTTTCACAGAATTACATGTTTATATTGCGCAATTCTGACTTTTTAACACGCAATTGTGAGATATCAAGTCAGAATTGTGTGATAAAAACTCGCAATTTTGAGAAATAAACTTGATATTCAGACTTTTTTCACAGAATTGCATGTTTATATTGCGCAATTCTGACTTTTTAACACGCAATTGTGAGATATAAAGTCAGAATTGTGAGATAAAAACTTGCAATTTTGAGAAATAAACTTGATATTCAGGCATTTTTCACAGAATTACGTGTTTATATTGCGCAATTCTGACTTTTTAACACGCAATTGTAAGATATCAAGTCAGAATTGTGTGATAAAAACTCGCAATTTTGAGAAATAAACTTGATATTCAGACTTTTTTCACAGAATTGCATGTTTATATTGCGCAATTCTGACTTTTTAACACGCAATTGTGAGATATAAAGTCAGAATTGTGAGATAAAAACTTGCAATTTTGAGAAATAAACTTGATATTCAGGCATTTTTCACAGAATTACCTGTTTATATTATATAATATTTATATTTCGCAATTCTGACTTTATAACACTTTATAATAGCATTTTTAAAATGTGAAGAAAATGTTTCCATTTTGTGTAATCATGGAAAGATTCCATGGATGTAAAATTCAAAACCAGAGGTTGACTCCATACTTAATCATGCCAGAGCCCCGACACATCGTACAGTGTCGCCGTTCACTGGACTGAGTCCAACCCGTGCCACTACAGGCTCCACATCGAGTCTGCAACAATAGAAATATTATAATGAAATAATAGAGTACGAAATATTAAAAAACGTCATGTCGTCATATACTTACCCTGCCAGAATTTACGCATCTTCCGCATGCAGATCTTCCAAGATTCAGGCATGAATGGCAACCCTAAATTTTGAATTTAACAATAAAAATGAATTGTTCATTGATGAGTTGTTGATTGAATGTGTTAAATGGAAGACTGAAATGAGTTACTTTAACAGTAGATGTGTGAGGAACGCGGACGGCTTTCTCGCAGTCTTTAAAGAGGGACGGGATGGGCACAGGAATACTCCACGGAGCGGGGGCCACTCCGAATCCATCCACCACCTGACCTGATCAGTCACATTCAATATATATAATATACAGTCTATACATAGACAAACTAGTGCTGTTAAGATCCCAATATACTTTAAGTGAAATCAAAGAATGAACTGGTGTTTAGGCCATTTATTTCTGCTTGCCAAACTTTCCGGAAAAGTGTGTGTGTGTATATTTTAGTAGTTGAGAATGAAAATGTGACTCTGCTCACCATTGTATGGTTCACTGTCCCACTCTGTGGTTCTAGACTCTGTAAAAGTCTCCAGTCGGTACTATAAGGACAAACCGACATTCAGCATGTGATGTGCATGTATATATAGTTTGACATGATGCTTGCGAGTGACTGTTGAAGCTGACCCGATATGTGTTGAGGGACTGCAGGTCTGTGAACACCATCTCTCTGGCTGGTTTCGAGCCGTAACAGCATTTGCTGGAGACATAATTGGTGAAGGCCTCCTGTGCAAGTTCTTCACTGATCGCAGGAATGCTGAGGACATGACATGGGAAATTTAGCACGTGAACTTTTGACCAATCGTTTATCAGGCATTTGACTTCAGGAATTTCAAGCCAGGTTTAACAACTTGAGGGTGAGTAAATGATGACAGAATTTTCACTTTTACAAATTAGACTAACTTCTTCATTGCTTAGGCTGCATTGGACCGTGCTAAGCCCTGATCACTTAGAATCCACAATGGGGTTCATTTATTTAAATTATTATGGGGTAAATTAAATGCAATATGTGTTGACGTCGAAATCGCATTGCATTGTGGGATATGGAGCTGCCTGAAATTTACAAATGAAGCAGACTCGTTCAAAATTGAGGAAGCGAGGGTCTGTCCATATAAACCTCTCTCGTCCACTTCACGAAGTGGAACGCTCTTCAAAATGGCGGCTGGGAAGTTCGCAAGTGTGTATCTAAAAGTGGACTGGAACGCAGCCCAGGTGTGAGTGAATATACCGGTACTCGTTTACATATTCATTGAACCGTGAACTAATTGAGGTAAGGGTGTAAAGACGCATTCAAACTATTTTAAGGAATGGAGATTTTTTTTCAAGGAAAAAAAAATCAAATATGTCAGTTTGGTGATCAAAGATAAGTTTTAAGAAATACAATTATTGAGGGGATTGAATTATCAGGGGGAAGTCGCACGATTTACTTTCTTCCCCTGCATGACATCATGTGCGGGGGTCCGTAACTTTAACTGAAATAAAATAAAATGTAAAAGAATTAAACTTATTTTTATTTAAGTAGTTTCCAAGGCAATGTTTATCTAAAATAAATAAAAATAAATACAAAAATCTATACTTAAAGGGTTAGTTCACCCAAAAATGAAAATTCTGTCAGTATTTACTCACCCTCATGTTGTTCCAAACCTCTATGTGTTTATTTGTTCTGCTGAACACAAAGGAAGATATTTGGAAGAATGTTTTAAACAAACAGATCTCATTCCCCATTGACCATTGAAATTGTATACATAAATAATTTATGATAAATGTATTTATGTATACAGTTTATTTCCTATTCCAATATGATCAATCGATCATAAAATATCTTGCTGAGCCTAGTTATTTAGATATGCAGAGCCGATTTAGATATGCATTTAAATATGTTGCACAACTAATTGTGAGTCTATGCTGCAGGACACATGACCGACCACTGGTCTAATGTTCTGATAATGACAAAGAAACAAGGTGGAGTTAAATAAATTAATCAGTTCATCAGTTCATGCCATGACAAGAAAACCAGTCAGGCAAGGCAGGAGGAAATACAGGAGACAACTAAAATCAAACTCCTAAAGCTCGGAAATCATAATTGCAAAGTGATGCGCATTAAAGTTATTTTTAACTAATCAAAATAGACCCATTTGGTAATATTTCATTCTATTTTCCACTTAATGAGGCATTTTAAGCCACCAATTAAGAGAGTGAAGAATGTGCTCTAGATTTATAATAATGTGTATTTTATCATCCAAGTGATTTGAACTAATCATTTTATTGTGTAAGTGCAGCGGTTCTTACTCAAAGTGTCTATCTGGAGGTCTGGATGGGGCTTGAGGCTGCGCCGATCCAAAATCTGACGGTGGGATGACTGTGGATGTAATAACAAATCCAACATTACTAACATTTTGTTCCCCGTTGCAAATGAAGGTTACTGAAATTGTTCTCACCATTAGGCCCAAAACTTTCATATCCAGGAATAACAGGCATTAAATCTGCAGGAGGAGCCGTCGCCCCGTCGTCTGGCATGGTGTTCGGATCTGTTTAATGTACATCACAAATTTAATTTACCCGTGAAACATGCTTTAAAGCTGTAACTGTGGTTTTCCTACAACGAGGAAACGGTAGAAATGTAAACAGGAAACATACTTCTCAAATTTTATGCTAAAAGAAGCTTTGTTGAAGTGAAAACGGGTGAACTAGGCCTATAAGGTTTTTATTATGTAATGTGGTTATGTGGGTTACACTTTATTTTGGTTAATCTTGATAGAGTGTAATTAAGTAATGAGTAACTAAAGCAGCCACTTAATAAATAGGGTTAGAATTAGGATTGAAGTTTGGTTTAGGGTTAGTTTAGGCATGTAAATATGCATAATTTAATGTTTAACAAGGACACGGCCACAACTTTTGGAAATGATTTTGATTACCTGCATAAGATTGGCCAGGGCATGATGGGCCAGTGTGGACTTCATCCTGGTCACTGTTGTAAAAGCAAAACAATATGTTTTTATAAGCACACTACCAAATATAGACAGAAAGAAAGAAAGAAAGAAAGAAAGAAAGAAAGAAAGAAAGAAAGAAAGAAAGAAAGAAAGAAAGAAAGTTCAAATGTTTAGTTCGTCATTCATCTCTAGATTCACGAGATAAGACTTTTTGCACGAGGTTGCGTTTAAGTTATTTCACAACATTCCTGTCTATTATCTGATAAAACCAGCATTTTTGTCTTTCTAACGGACTTCTCTTCATAATTTCGTTAAGTTTGTCGACCATACCTCAGAAGATGCGTCCTGTCCATCCTCCCTCTGCGTGATCCACAACTGTAACTTTCGTTTAGTGAGAAGCGAGAGTAAACGGAAGAAAGCGGAAGAGCTGCACTGTAACCTGAGATTTGTTCATCACGACGAAGCAATATCAAGTTGAGACTTTTATAGGACATTTGACATGGCAACCATCAACATTTTAACTCCCTATGGCTATAACTTTGTGTAGAAAAAAATGTTTAATGATGAGTTTATTTAGTTTTTTTTAGTAGTCTGTAAGCTAGCAACAATAATTGAACGTCGACAACAGTGTTGGCACATCATGTAACATGTTTTGCTTACCTGGTACCAGGATTGCGGTTGAAATGAAGCCTGCTAACGTGTATTTCAGGTTTAGCCAGTACTTTTGTGATAGCACAGCACTAATTTATGTAAAAGACGAACAATTCAAAAACAAATATTAATTTCATTAAGATATTCAACTTATGATATCAAAACAGCGACTCACATGACCTCCCCTAAAATGTGTACGTTTACATCTGGAAGATGTATTTTTTAGAGACGTATTGCTCATCTGCAATACGTCTATAGGACGTTTCCTGTCAGATGTCAAATAGACGTTTAGAAGATGTCTTTAAGATGTAATGACTTTAAAACGTTAGAATTAGATGTTAGTAAACAGCAGATGCTTTCCAGATTAAGGATCTTTAACAGACGTCTTGCAGACGTGTGCTAATCCAGCAAGATAAAATGAGTTTGCAGTTTTTGAGTAAAATGTTCAAACTCATTAAATGGACTGTAGGCCTAGAGTTGAATGCATTGCATCGTGCGATTCATAAATCTCCATTCATAAATATTTTCCCGTGGCCTTGTTGGATATAGTGTCCACACTTCAGAATCTCACTGGAACTATGTCATCTGGGTAGGCTACTTTTTGCCTACCGTGAATTCGGACTTACTTTTTTTCCTCGCTTATATGTGATTTTGGATGCAGCCAAAGTCAGCTTTCAGATGATTGCAGCTATTGTTTGAATTTATATATTATATTGTATTATATATAAATATTTTATATATAAATAATATTTTTTCTTAAATATGCATTTTGTCTATTTATATAATTATACACAGTGCACCCACATATTATGTAAACACAAACTTTTATTTTGGATGCGATTAATCGCGATTAATCGTTTGACAGCCTGGGGAAACCTGATGAACTTCTAGCAAATTTCAGATTTGCTCTACAAGTCCGTCTGGCCAAGAGCCCATTTCCAATAAAAAAACAAACTAACAATTTAAATAGAACTATGCACTTTTGCGTTTTTGCCTACAAAGTGATGTCATACCTGCAGAAGTTGAGACTGTACGTTTTGAATGCTTATTGCTTAGGCCTATATCATAAAAATGTGAATTTTGTCATTGTTTTGGAGCACACTAGCTTGAGTCCAGCATGGCTTAAATATATAGAAAGCCGAAAAAATTGGACTTTTAAAAACAGTCTTTTTTATTGCTGAGGTATCACTTAAAAATACACATCAACACAATTGCAAATGTGTACTTAATTCATATAACCTGAGATGAAAATAACCAATTGTACAAAAAACGGGAAAAGTTCGCGTCTATAATAAAAAAAAGTTTAAATCTTAAAAATATGTTTTATTTGGTCAAATTTAAGAAATAATTTGGAACAGTTTCCCCTGCTAGATAACACATTTCCTATGCAGCAGTTTGACAACACCACATCAGCGGCAATGTTGTGCACGGCCACATTTCAGAGCAGGAGCCACTTCCGGCGCGTGATGTTATTTGCCGGCCGTCACTGCGTCACTTCCTTCTTTTCTTCAGGACTGTCTTCGGTAGAGGCAGGCCGAACGGTGAGCAGAATAAAATCTCAATTCATCCTTTAACATTCTGATGTAAATAAACGTTTCGTAGTCCATATCGCTGTGTTGCTGTTCACTGCACTCAAATGTGCTGATATTGCGGCTCAGAGAGTGATATTAAGTGCGGTATTTATATGAATGATCACACGGGGTTTGTACATGGCGGCCATTGGTGTGATCTGCATGAAAAGTCACAGAATATAATGAACACTGCTCTGCTAGCTTTAACATTACAGCAGTGTCCCATATAATTACAAATTGAAAAAAATGTGTTCATATTCATGCGGAATATGAGCGTCCAATCAATCCAATATCACGCATGTTATGTTTAGTAACGTTGTGCTAGTTGCATGTGCTGTGCATGTTGTTTAGCGTATATTTTATATTTCTGCCGTAGTTTGAAACGATAAGTTTTGCTTTAAACGTGTATCTTATTATTACGTGGTTTTAGTTAAACTCTTTTTTCGTTGTTGTTGACATGTCAATACTGTTTGCTAACATTGCTAACGTACATGCTACATGTCAACGTAGATCTTGCTTTAGTCAAAAATATGAGTCATTGTGCATCATGAATGATTCGTTAATGTTTATGTGTGTTTTTTGTTGTTGTTGTTGAATGTCTAATTCATTGTTGCTTGTTCATTTTTGTAGGCATCATGGCAGCCCTCAGACCCCTCACCAAACCTAATATTGTCAAGAAAAGGACAAAGAAGTTCATCAGACATCAGTCGGACCGATATGTCAAGATCAGGGTAGGAAACCTGGAATATCACTGATCATCTTTGAGCAGTAGCGGTTTTTTAATAGTGTTTTTTTTTAATGTAATGTTAATTTAGTCTTTTAAATCATTCATGGTCTAATATAAATGTGTGTTTGTAGAAAAACTGGAGGAAGCCTAGAGGTATTGACAACAGAGTGCGCAGACGCTTCAAGGGTCAGATGTTGATGCCCAACATCGGTTATGGAAGTAACAAAAAGACCAAACACATGCTGCCCTCTGGATTCAAGAAGTTCCTGGTCCACAATATCAAAGAACTTGAAGTCCTCATGATGAGCAACAAGTAAGAGCAGAAGGATTTTGCTCCTTTTATACCCAATGTGAATTTGCTTGGATGATTATTCCATGTAACTCCTTAGTTTTAATATAATGGTTCTTTGTGGTTGAATATGTAGCTAATGTTAGAACGGTCTTTCTCTGTGATCATACCTGCTGAATTGCCCATATTCATCCCAGGTGTTGAAGTCAGAGAAATATAATTGCGGAGGAAATACCCATTCTACCTCTAGCTCTTGCTATAGCCAGCAGGTGGAAGATTATCTGCTACAAGTGACTAGTGCTTGTATTTGAGGCTCTTCGAAGTATAACTAGGTCCTATACTAGAGTACAAGTGTAGTTTGAACGAGTTAGCAATGTTGCTTTCTCATTAAAAAAAATGTATGTGAATTTGTGTAACCTTAAGGTTTTTCTTTCCCTCCAGGACCCATTGTGCTGAGATTGCCCACAATGTGTCCTCAAAGAACAGGAAGCTGATCGTGGAGAGGGCCGCACAGTTGGCCATTAAGGTCACAAACCCCAACGCCAGACTCCGCAGCGAGGAGAACGAATAGTCTGTTCATCTTGTTGTCTTTTCAATAAAGTGAAAAATATAAAATCATATTTTCTAGTATTGTCATTTCTTTTTGTTTAGAATTGTTACTCGTATTTAAAACTGTCCTAAGGGGGTGTGTTGTTTTGTGAAGACGATGAGTGTAGCAGAACTGTGGGCAAGCTTTGGGACATATACTATGTTATAACTGTATCTTTAACGGACAGCTGCCACTTGTTGATTCGTTTAAACTGCCCTGTCAATCATCTTGGCAATGTTAAAATCCTCAACATTAATTTCAATTTCCTACTGTCTCAGAGAGAAATGTTGTGCGTTGGTCTTTAATGTGGAGACTCCGCATGTATTTGCATAAAGATGCATTTAAAAGTTAATTGTCAAACTTCTCTTTACAAAAGTTCAAAATGCTGTTGAAATATGTGGATAACATTAAATAAATAACTTTTTGTTGGGTTAGATTATCCACTCAAATCCCTATTTCTTGTCTGATGTACTTGACAGTTGTACTCTCACATCCACCATGTTTGTAGTTTCCTAACAATTGTTTGTAGTTCTAATTGATTTGTTGTCCAACTTGCAATGGGTTATGGGCAGCATTAGCTGTTTGTGTTGCGTATAACTGGGAAATAATAATTTTAGCTTCCAATACTATTTAGGATGGACAGTCTGCAAGATGGGGATGCAGTTTTGTAGAAATTAAGTTTCAAGCTTAAAGTATTTATTTTCACATCAAAACTGTTGTCCATTTCAGGAACTGTAACCACAAAAAAATAAACCGAGTCCTAGCTAGTGTCCATTGACTCCACAGCCCCTGTTAAGGGGTCTCCTTGAAGGCTCTCGAAGATGCTGGCCATCTCGGCATTGCTTCTGATCTGGTTGGCGAAGTCAGCCATAGCAGGGCTCTTCTCCACCTCGCTGATGGACAGCAGGGCAGCGACGGCACGCATGGCAGAGCGCCTCAGCTCCTCCTGCTTCTCAAACTCCTGCTTCACTGAACCAGCTTTCACCTTCATATACCAAAATATATATATATGAAGAGTTCAGATGCAAAAGCCTCTAAGTGCCATTTGAAATTTTCTTTTAAAATGATCATTTTTATCAAGCTTGTATATTTAAGTTCAGTAATTTCACTTAAATGGCAATGAAGATTATTAATTGTCATTTAAGTGAAATTATTGAACTTAAATACACAAGCTTGATAAAAATGGTCATTCTAGAACAAAATTTCAAATGGCACTTAGAGGCTTTTGCATCTGAACTCTTCATATATATATATATACAATTGTTTACAGAGAAGTAGTGACTGGTTACATATGACCTGGATTATGTAATCAGGTCCCAAGTACTTGAAATTGGGTTATATTACATTTTAAAATACTGCAGGCTGCAGTTAATAATTGCTATTCTTCACAATGGCAGTGAATTATACATAATGCATTGATTCTACCAACTACTTTCTTCATATCCTTTAAAGATATGTTTACTGCTTATATATGTTCAGAAGGACTTCCAGGTTTGTGTAGATGCAGAACACAAATAAATAAAACCGAGCAGTCAACATCTTCATGTGACTATCACTGAAACTGAGCAAAACACAGCATTTGATAACTGCATT